ATAAATCACGCCTCAACACCTAAATTTGTTTTACGCATTCCATCAAAAATAATCTTGAAGTAACGGACATAACAGGATTCTGAAAATGGAATGACTATCATCAGCAGCAGGAAAACAATTCGACGGCACTTTAAGATGCTGGAAAAGAGCAATTGACACAGGAAATTACATAGGCCGTTGTCCTCTCCGGGACGCCAAGTTCCCAAGCATGACTAATGGTGCGGCGAGAGGATTGGTTTGTTAGCGTGAGGTGATGGCGGTTCAAGGACCTTCCAAGAACCAAGGAAGTTCAAGGACGAGTAAGGCTGCGATGTATTTACGTTAAGGTTCGTAAATAAAGCTGCTGGGATTCTGCTGAGGTTCGTGCCGGAAGATTGCTGATCGACTTCAAGAAAATGTGAGAGGATTTCGTGGACGATTTTCAGAGCGATTTTGCTGGTGCAGTGGGTGCGGTGGCTGGCATGAACAGTCAGAGAAGAAAAGCAACTGAGCCTGCGCTTTGGTCAGGGCGTGACTCCGGTCAGAGTAAAAGGGGAACTGAGCTTGTCCTCAGACGTAGACGCGAATCCGGTCCGAGAAGAAGGGAACTGAGGCTGTGCTCAGAGGTAGACGCGGGTCCGGTCAGATAAAGATGGGAACTGAGGCTGTGCTCAGAGGTAGACGCGGGTCCGGTCAGATAAAGATGGGAACTGAGGCTGTGCTCAGAGGTAGACGCGGGTCCGGTCAGATAAAGATGGGAACTGAGGCTGTGCTCAGAGGTAGACGCGGGTCCGGTCAGATAAAGATGGGAACTGAGGCTGTGCTCAGACGTAGACGCGGGTCCGGTCAGATAAATATGGGAACTGAGGCTGTGCTCAGAGGTAGACGCGGGTCCGGTCAGATAAAGATGGGAACTGAGGCTGTGCTCAGAGGTAGACGCGGGTCCGGTCAGATAAAGATGGGAACTGAGGCTGTGCTCAGACGTAGACGCGGGTCCGGTCAGATAAATATGGGAACTGAGGCTGTGCTCAGAGGTAGACGCGGGTCCGGTCAGATAAAGATGGGAACTGAGGCTGTGCTCAGACGTGGGGCGTGGATGCGGTCACGCTAAATCCACGACAAGTTTCTGCAGTGGATGTACGGTCCATTTGCGCTGTCCCTTGACGCGAGGGGGTGAAGAAAAGGTTCTGGCAACGTTAGAAGGATATTACAACCACTACAGGTGTTAGCGGTCTTGCCGCAGCTGATAGGCTGAGCTGGATATGTGATGCGGTACAGAGGCCGACGACGTAAAAGTCTCTTGTAGACAGCAGAAGCACCTCTACGCTGCTCGCGCCGACAACGGGAATTGTCCTGGACTGAGCCATAAAGCTAAGCTGGAAGTGGAAAAGCTGCTCTCGGCTGGTATCTCCCAGCCACTGCAGGTGTGTTATTTGAACTGAATGTTGACAACCGATTAGGTGCAGTCGGGTCCACATCATTTGACCCCACATAGCAAGTCTGTTCTGTTTGTACTTCATACCTTATGCTGAAAATTAGCCATTTCACTAGTATGACGATCTGCCCCCCCCCCCCCCCCCCCCCGGTTTCGAAAAGAGACTACAACCCGTGAATTGAGCAGGCCTCTGTAAGTTAAGAGAAATGTTCCACATTTGAAGATATTGAAGTAATCACCAGATCTCATGAAATAAGCTCTCTCATAACACTTGAGATACTTTGAAGAGGACAAGGATGCTCTAGACAGCACGATTTTTTTGCGAAGTAAATACGCCCTTCAGTGCGTCTTTGTTATTGTCATCGTACCTTGCACAACATTGATTCATAGCCAGCTGACGCCCGTTGTGTCTAAAAATCGTGCTCATGAACGGCAGATATGAACAACTTGACCGCTATATTTTCTCGGCTTTGATGGTCGCATGGCTAATGGAATGACAATATTTAAGTGACGTCATTATGATGTCACGAATGCCTTGGTGACCTTGAAGTAAGTGTCCCGATATATTCTGTACATTTTCGTGGGCGTGTAACGCAGCAAATGGAATGGTTTCGGTGCTAAGAAGGGCAGGGCTGTGAGCTACATGTAATGGTCTTCAAGATGGCTCCTTGAATTAAAAACCCCATATAAATGTGGAGCATTCCCTTTAAGCGTCAGTTTTGTCTCTTTCCATTTGGTCCCTTGCCCAACCATCTGGGCGTGCAAGACTACCTATTCACCTGTCCTTGGTAAGGTCACGATGCGTGAAAAGAAAACCTGAATAGCTGTTTGACCTGAAGCCATTGGGCCATTAGGCGGTGGCCTGACCTTATCAGTAGCTGCTATGTGACCTGTTTCACCAATTGAATGAGGAGGTGACTGTGTCTGTGGCTGCTGCATAAGGTTTGACCTGGAACCTGTCTGAGGTATCCTGACTGTGGTCTGGTTGGCCTGTCAGGTAGCGGCCTGGCAATTCCTGTGGTGCTGCATGACCTTGATGACCTGTCTAGTAGACTAGTAGTGCCTGGACCATGCCTGTGGCTGCATTGCGACACGTCGGGTGGTGGGTGGTAACCTGACTGTATGATCTGGTTAGCCTGGCAGGTGGCCACCTGAGTGTGGGATCAGGGTTTTAACATGATCATGTCTGCTGTATGTATATATATATATATATATATATATATATATATATATATGTATATATGTATATATTACGACATGTTGGTTGTACCTTACAGCAAATTTCGCGTGTATGACCTGGATCGTTTGTTCAATGTTTCGCGCAGTGCGCTTGTTGCTTTCATGACGCCGGCTGAGACTCGTTGATTAACCAAAACCAAACAAAAGTAAGTTCAAACAGACCAATGTAGTGAAGTGTTTCCCATGTCCTACCGGGGACTGTGAGGTGCGCAGTGTGAACTACATTGACGTGACTATAACAAAGCTCAGCCGACGTTTCACCTTCCTGGACCTTAGCTTGCTCAGCCAACCTCAACCTTGTCTGTGCCGCCTCCCGCACTTGCGGGAGGGGGCACCGAAAACACATGCACGTAGACACCACAGCACGCCAGTCACCAGACATGAGTAAGCCAAGAACACCATAATCCTTGCACACATCACAGACCATAGACGCCTCACCACACTTGAATCATCACGCACCAGAGACGTGGTATCCATCAACATACAAAACCAAAACGCACACAACTACCACTTCACGACACGCAGCTGAAAGGACGGACCCTCGTGATGCAAGCCTACGGGACCAGCAAACTTTCAACTCGATACGGTGAAAATGTAAAACTTTCAAAGATACAAGTGTGCCTGAAATTAGAGCATGTGTGTTGGCTGTACAGTGTTATCGGCTCTTGACCTCATAAGAGGTATCCGTGAGCTAATCATCGTGTTTGTGGAACCATCATCGTGGAAAACGTGCAGTAAATGTGGTGGCAAAAATCAATTTGCAAAAATGTGCAAAAATCGCCAGGTGGACGAGTCCAATCTCAGGAAGCGAGGGATTGCCACGAGAGACGAAATCGCACGTCATGATTTTGGTTCACGCCTGGTAATGGCGTTGAAAACAGTGATCGGCTGACGGAAGTAGAACTGAATGGCCAGATTATAGAGACACTGGTCGACACTGGAGCATTAGCGGACATTACAGTCAGCAAAGGCCTTGTAAAACTGGCCGGCATCAAAGCGGCAAAGACGAACCGGCGACTGCTACCGCATGGATCAAAAATCCCGCTGAAGCTGGACGGTCAATTTTTGACAACGACTATAGCCAACGATCGAGAAGTCCAGAGCCGTTGGCTCATAACAGCTCATCGGCAAATCTTGCTCCTCAGTAGAATAACAGCAGAACTACTTGGTCCGATAACAACTGGAGGACGTGTCAATCAAGTGACTAAAAAGTGGCCCGCTAGGTTGTCGCTGAAACAAGTCCTCGACGAGCACAAGGAAGTTTTTGATAACAAGTTGGACAGCCGGCCGACATCAAGGCCAGCCCGAACTTAAAAGAAATGTCAGAGCCAGTGTTCAGGAGAGCGAGGCCCGTGCCGCATACGCTGCAAGACGAAGTCGACAGAGAGCTGAAAAAGTGGGAAGACTCAGTGATCAAGTGGGAAGTATCGAATATTCTGACTGGGATACACCCATGACGGTGGTGCCGAAACATGCGGTGGATGTGCGCAAGCCCATCCGGTTCCAAGCGGGCCAAATCTGACGGCCAAGAGTTAGGGCCACTTTATTCTCAGGGGGTGTGAGTTGTCACGTCGGTCATTGACTCAAGCGTTATCGGTTATTGACCTGATGAGAGGTACCCGTGTGTTAACCATCACGCCGAGAGCGAGATAAAATAGTTGTACGCGTTCTCCGCAAAGAAATAGGTTTTAGTCCAAAATGTAAACTACTCGAATGCAGCGCACTTTTGTATTACTGCAAACTCTGACTTATAACATGATGCAACATGCAAATGTCATTTTTCAAATGCCTGGAGCATGTATTTTGTAGGGATACGATGAAACCAAGCTTCGTACTGGGCTTGTAGCTGTAAGTTCAAAATGTAATAATTACCTTAAAATGATCACCAAACTGATCGAAACGTTGAGAAATAGATATACTTTGGCAACATTCTGCATTGTCACATCGCATACGACAAACGCATTATATTTATATATACATATATCTTTATAAATAAATAAATATATATATACATATATATATATATATATATATATATATATATATATATATATTTGTCAGGAGTTTTAGCGGGAACAGGTGTCAATTCTGATCACGTCCTGGCTGCCACGGGACTTTGTTCTTGCCTGACCCTCTGTAAAACCTAGACTCTGGAACCATGCGAATGACAACACGTCTACCGGACAGGCATACACAATTCGACAACCAGGTCCAGCCACCTGTCAAACAATAAAGGGCACCTGGAGCGAACCTGAAGGCCTCATGTGGGCAGCTGCGAGCGCCTGCCGCCCTGGCTCTGTGACGTCTGGGCCGCTGACAGCCGGCTGGGGGAGGGGGAGGGGCTTACTTGTTCAGCCGGCGGATGATGCCCTTGAGCGCCTGGAAGTCGGGCCGGTCCACGGGGTCCTCGGACCAGCAGCGGCGCATCATCTGCAGCACCTCCTCATCGGCCACGTCCTCCTCCGTGGCCGGACGGAACGGCGGCTTCTGGCCGTTCCGCACGTTTTCGACAATCTCTGCAACGGTGACGTCAGCGGTAATGGCGACGCGGCGACGTTCGAGGCCCACTGTCAGCTCTGCTCAGGCCAGCAATCGGTCGGCACAGGGCGGCGTCGGAGGCTGGTGACGCAGGCGAGGCAGATTGACCATTCACTGAAAAACCCTCGGATTCAGCGAAAATTGAGACGTGACTGAGCTGAGGCAGCGATTTTGCGACCTGACGTAATGCTGCTCTTGTTATTTTGTGTTTGTGTTGCAAGTTTCGTATCTGCATGCCTACCTATAATTCAAATTCCACCTTGAAAAGGTAGGGGTGGGGTTTCGATGCGTGGGACATATTTGAAGTGCTTGCGTGATGGACTGGTGAAGACCTGACTCGTTCCAGTACTTCTCAAGAATTAAACATAAAGTTTGTCAGTCAATAGATGCTATATACTAGTACTTACACTCACCAGCACTCACAACACAGCGCAATATCCACGTGCACAACCAACATGGGCTTTGCACCTTCATACCATGTGAGCGTACGAGCATACGTGACAGCAAACAGTTCACCTTACATTCTAGCTACAATCGGAAACAAGCCAGTCACATGTTACGGAAATGATGTCATAACTAACCAATGAGAAGCGAGAACGACATCGAACGATGGTAAGCTGAACCAATCACAGAGTGTGATCGTCTTGCGATCCCGGAACTATCCAATGCAACAGGTGGCTGGTGAGGCGCTGACGGTGATTTTTAAAGGAAGTATCAAATCACATTAAAGATGGTACACATAGTTAAGTTTACGACGAAACACATGGCATGTGGTGAATGACAGGGGGGGGGGGGGCGTAACCTAGTCGGAACTAGGTCTGGCAATCACACGGTGACGTCACCACGGGAGTGCCCGGGGGCATTTACGCGCTAAAGTGCAAAACAACACTGATTTTTTGACAATCGTTTTCGAGTGTTACTAAGGCGTTTTTTCCAACGAAAAGTGTCTGAAGACGTTTATTAGTATGTCTCCTAGCCATAGCAAAACCCGGGGACAAAACAACTGTCTGGTCACATATTCCAACACAAGCCCGGATCACTGTACCATGCCTTGCATCCAATAAAGAAGACTTTTACCACAATGTGGGGTGATTATCATCCTTACTGTCACATATTGTTTCGGACGTGCGGTCCAGATGCGGGCTGCTTCGAGCCGGCGACACGTATAGACGAAGTCAGCTGAATGCAAGTGAGATATTCTGGTGTTCAGCCAATACGAAGGCGATAGCAGCTGTTTTCATTGCTTGGAGAAGTACCTGACATTTTCCTAGCCTGATGACATGAGGAGTCGGAAGGACAGATGCAATGCCATTTTACCTGGTGTCTGTAATAACAATGTCTGGAGCGGTTGTAATCACGTGTTTAGGGTCGAAAGCGATGGTTTCCACCTAGCTCATTCTCTGAGATATTGGAGATTACGTTCCCAAGCTATGGGAAGGTCTACAACAGTCATGTTTGCGCTCCCAGCAGTCATGTTTGCACTCATGGCCTCTAAAACGTCAGCTCTCAACGCCACAACACAACACATGGGTGTACACCAACTCAGCGGAACAGCCCACCTCCATTACACCGTTCAGATTTGATTTATACACCGTGCACAGGTCCGCATAATGTTCTTCACGCGTCAGGTAACGCATAGCATGTACCGCGCACCCGCCAGGAAGGCGTTGAGAAAACGAACACTGTCGCCTACCTGCTCTAGTGAGCTGCCAGTGCCGCTTTGCCACAGAACCGCCGCATTGAGAACAGCCAGGTCACAGGAGACCATCTCAGTTCGGTAACATAATATCGCCACCTGTTGCTCCAGCGCAGTCAGGTCCAGGGAAGGAACTTCCGCTCCAGCCCAGTCCGGTCAGATGACGGGCCTCCTCCTCCGGTGCAGCAGATGACGAGCCGCCTCCTTCAGTGTAGCAGGCGACGGGCCGCCTCCTCCAGTGTAGCAGATGACGGGTCGCCTCCTCCGGTGCCGCTCAGTCAGATCACGGGCAGCCTCCTCCGGCGTAGCAGGCCACGGGCCGCCTCCTCCGGTGCAGCTCATTCAGATCACGGGCAGCCTCCTCCGGTGTAGCAGACCACGGGCCGCCTCCTCCGGCGTAGCAGGCCACGGGCCGCCTCCTCCGGTGCAGCTGGGCCACCACTCACCTTGCAAACTGACGCCCCTTCAGCCTCTCGCAGTGCTGCAGAGCTTCCTTTTGGCGCACTCAGCTCAGAAAGCTGAGCCGGATGAACGTGCGCAGCCGAACAAACCGGCTAACCACCCGGACATCCAGGGGACCTGGCTCCGCACACAGGGTCGCTACCATCGACTCGATGACTCTCGGGCAGCGGGAGAGTCGGTCCGGTTCGAGATGGTGACGTGTACAGAAGGTCGACTCCATCGTTTTTAACTTCTCCATCCACTTGGTGGTTGGGGCACTCATACCGCCCGGCAGTATATAACACAACGGCAGTGCTGCCACCATTCAAAAGGCTGACAGTTGGTGGAAGGGACCAAAATCACCTGCCACACCCCATGACCATTCGCTCATCACATGGAATAAGTTTGGCTGTGTTGCAGAGAGCGCGGGGAAATGCGCTCTCTCCTGCCAACGGTCGCCAGAAGCCGCCAGTACCACGTGCGGCTTGCGGCCGAGTCTTTTTCACACTTAACGCGATGTTTTGGCAACCAGGGGACCTAGAACCGCGATTCCAACTGCAAATGATGCATAATAAAAATTATCAAATTTTAAATTAGCGCAGTGAAGCAAGCGCGCAAGCGCTTGTTAGCATCTGAAGACACATAATAAAACCGATTGCTGGTGCAGGTATTGCAATAAAACCTACAAACGAAACATGTAAATCTTACTCCTTCTGTATCTCTCTCCCAAGGCTCTGGAAAGGTCCTTGCCTCCACTTGGAAGTCGTCTTGAGGGGGTTTGTCATGGGGTCCTTCCCCGGGTTGAGCAGCTCATACTTCAGATCACGTACATAATCTCCCGGAGAAAAGTGAAGGGAGCAAACTCTAGTGCTTTCGTTGGTAGTGATCTTATCCTTCTTAGCAGCCTTGGTCCAGCCTTTGGCTGCTTTTTTGTCACTTGGTAAAGAATGAGCAATAGCATTGGGTGGCCTCACACTTTTCTCATCTCTTGTCTTGCAATGGGGAACCAGACAGTATCTTCCCATTTTTTTCAAGCTTAGCACCTTCAAAATCTGTAAATATGCAATGTGGCAATGGCAAGACTGTAGATAACTTTGAGATTCTTACCAATGCTAAAAATTCAAAATAAAGGTATGGTAATCAGAGGGTTTAATTGAAACCTGAAGTCGTCACCTTTTCTTTGTGTTACATATGGACTTGCCCAGACCTTAGAGCAGGGATCCGAACATCACAGCAACATAACCAGTTCCAAACAATACCCCTGCAACCTGTCACCAGCAAAGGACAGACTGGCGGGGATCATTTCAAATGGAATTCCAAGGGAAATATTCCGTGGTCAGATTATGGGAGACGTCCCATGCTCCGACACATAAATGAACATCCACCGGTTTGTGTTCCTTTCCTATTCGTGCAGCAAATATGTCTTTACAAAAGAGGCTTTTCCAGAAAGAGTAAGAGGAGGGTTGGGGGGTGCCGGGGAACTGTATAAAAAATGGGTTGGTTTTCCATAGTTGTTCCTACGAACACAGTTAATTTATTTGGCTATATAACATAGTAAAGAGCCTTGCACTCACCAAAGACACAGCGAGATGGCAGTTCAAGTTGCAGGCAGGCAATGTTTTTGTTGAACGTCTCTACTGCGCAAGAACTGTAAAATTGCCAGTTTTTAGTCACTAGTAGAACATTGCTGGGTGCTATTTTATAATTACGTAACATCACGTGATAATGCTTTGGCAGAAATTATAACTCATCAAAATTGTGTTAAAATTACATCACTTGTACTTTTATTGATTACAATTGATATATAGGTGCTCACCAGGCCAGCATTGTCTCAAACCTAGTGTATTTTGGTCTACATCCTGCCGTCCAACCTGCTCTTATAAGGTCTTGGTGAATGATATTCTTCCCAATAGGGTTAGGTGTCATCTGGTGTCTTTCTTGTCCTACAGGATTCTGAAGATTCTAGAGATTATATGTCTGAAGACATCTTGAGGTTTATAAGAATTCTGGATATTTACTGCCGTGAAATGTTATTCATTACCTTACGTCCCCCCAAGGTTTTCTAATGAAATGTCTCCGGCACATCGTGTAATCGCGCTCAACTTTTGTTCACATTATGGGACATTCATTGCGCAGGTTTTGACACCAAAAACCTGTCTCCAGCGCGGTGGGCCGACGGCGTCAAATGAACGGAACCATCCAGCATCAATATGACTTAGATACAGCATAACATTGACTTATTGTTTCTTGTTTGAAGATACTGAAGCAAGCATCAGATACGACAAAGCTTACTTATAACTCCTTGGCTTACAAGTGGAAAAGACTGCTACAAACAGCACAATTCTCTGTTAAGTAAAAATGCTCCTCAATGCGCGATGGTTTGATTAAGTCATGTACCCTGCAAAGCATTGATCGAGACCCAATTGACGTCCGTTTTACCTGGAAATCGCGCTCACGAACGCCAGGTATGGGCGTGTCGACAATTAAATTTGTCTTGTCCTTGATCGCCGCATGGCAAATGGAATGACAAAATTTGAATGATGTCATTATGACGTCATGGGTGCCTGGGTGACCTGAAACAGCCTCTCCAAAACAGTCTGCTTATCTCCCCAGGCGTGTAGCTCAGACACTAAAGGTTATTAGATCTTGAGAATGATAGGGCTCTAAACTGCACCGAATGATATTCAACATGGCTATTTCATTTCAAAAACCCACATGAATTTAGAACACTCCCCTCAAACGCATGATGATGAAAGAACATGTAAATGTACTCAGTATTAAAGAAGAAACATTCCTGATTAAGCTTCATGTCGCTGCGTGTAATAAATACGCAAATATTGACATACAAAGCTGAAAAACGTGATTTCAGGTAAAAATACATTTCAACTGAAGAAGGGGTTCAGTTATTGACCTAACAGAATAAAAACCATCACCAATCGCAAGACTTCGTAGAGACCAGCTCACTGCTTTTTCCGCAAGGTTTCATTGTTCTTAATTTGCAAACGGCCAGGGGGAGTGAGTTTGCATCGACTTTCCATCAGCCCGCGTTGATGAGCAAATCAAGGCGAGGATCGATATGTCGGATGCACTGTTTTCAAGCCAATTACGACTTTCGTCTGTACTTCTTCATCCTGTTTCCCCACTGTTCTGCACGCACATATTACAAAATGATTTAAGTTTCCATACACAAAATCAAGACCTGTGTTCTCGCTACAGGTCGGCCAGTAGGGGTGATATATGCATGGATTGCGTGCGCTGCGCTTATTGGCATGCTGCACCGTCCAACTGCGGAAGTAGCGCGGCAAAGTCTATTCTGGAACGAGCAGGCGGCTACAGCACCGCCTAGCTCCGCGCAACAACATAAAAAGCGATGGAGCTAACCTCAAAGTAAGCTTATAGGCAATGCAACATCCGATTATATGGACAGGTACCGAAGCATCTTTCATCAGCTTTCGAAGATCATGGTGCAACCAGTCTTCATAATGTGCGCGTATTCGTTTTGACACCTTGGCAGGTTCCCTTTGCGAATTGCCAGGACCAAATCTATCATACCGTGCACGGACAAGGAAGCACTGCATGGCCCGCCAGCTAATGCAACTATGATCACA